TGGGGTCCCTGATTTCAGTTTCAGCCTTAGCTGATACCATCAAGTGTTGCTCCATGCTCCAACCAGGCTGCAGCACACAAGGGGTTAACCCCAAAAATCCACGCTTGCTGGAGCTTTAGACAAAACCCGAGATGAAAAGAGGAGCCTGCTCCCCTTTGATGAGCAGCTCCAGGAGCCCTCAGCATCTCTCACCTCTAATTTAGCAGCTCACAAAGCACCAAAGACACTGGAGATGCCACCAGCACCTCACCAGGACTGGCAGTGCTGGGGTACATCCCTATGCTGGTGATGAGGCTGTTTGAGACCCACTGGGGTCCTGGTCCCTCTTGCGCACCCTCAAAACACCACTCCCACCCAGGTACCCACAAACGTGCACCCTCCTCCCCAGACATCATCCTCCACCCTTCTGTAAAGCTTCCAAAATACACATTTAATTGTGATTTAATGCAATAGTTACTGTGGTCAATAAATACCAAAACTATATTAAAGGAGGATTAATGGCCGTGTAATGGCCAAGTGTCTATTGCATAACCCTTAATACACATGGATGGCCTTCTGCTGCCATGCCATGGGCACTGCAGGTCTCCAGCCATCCCTTCCCATCCTGGCTGAGGTTGACAGACCCATGAGAAATGGGTGAGATTCCTGCAGCGCTGCCAGGCAGGAGGGGGAGATCTCCAAGTGTTGAAACTGGATAAAAGCATCAGCATCTGAGCATCTCATGGGCATCTCCCTAAGAGACCTTGGCAATGGCAGCCAGTCTGGAGAGAGCAGAGACTTCCCCTGCATGGCCCTTGGAGCCTGTCTGCCCCTCTCTGCCCGCTAAAACCCAGCCATTAAACAGCTTGGCTGCACTCCCAGCCCATGTCCCCTCTGCACTGACCACTCGCTGCACCCAGCAGCATTCCAACACCAACCCACTTGCAAGGGCAGAGCCATCTTCCCATCTCTGGGGTTCCCCCGCTTTGGGAAGCACTGCCCTGAAACGCAGTACTTGGGGTGCCCTGTTTACCCTGGATCAAGAGGACCCAGAGCACAGGGTGGCTCTAGGAGAGGCCAAACAGGGCACACACTGCAGGGCTGGCTGATGGTTTGGGTAGGAATTGCTAGGACATGCTCTTGTGGGAAAGGAAACTGAGGCAGCAAGCCTCCCCACCTCCCCACCCCGCCATTCCCTGGCATCAATCCACATGGAAAGTCACTTTAAAAAGGAAAAAAATAGCACATTTTGAGCAAATTTTGGCCGGCTTCAGCTGCAAACTCACTTGTCAGGAATACTGGAATTAGTGGAGCTGGATGGTGTGAACATCTGTGCAACGCAAACACGGAGGGGGGAGCGGAGCCCCCGCTGCTGCCTGCGGATGCTCCAGTGGGATGCAGCAGGAGGGCAGCTGGGACCCAGCACGTGCCCCCCACCAGCCTCGCCGTGCAAGGGGACCCCAAAATACCCTGGAGAGGAGGGTGCAGCTCAGGGACTCACCACACCAGCTCGGTGGCTGCAAATTCCCTTTGGGTGAATACTGGAGTAACCGGGATCAATGGTGCAGGATGGGCACAGAGGGACTTCTTGCACCAGCCCCACATCTTCTGCCCCTTGTAGGCTCCCCTAATGTGGGGATGGGGCTTTCCAGAGCAGCCATGACCAGCACCCAGCACTTCCTAACCTCCTCCTGCATCAGCACAACTGCAGCCCTCAGCTACCAAAACCTGCCTGTTTATGCCCAAAATAACCCTCAGGCAGGAGCAGATTGGGTGCTCAGGTGTTGGCTAATTAGGTGTTCAGGTGCTGACTAATTGGCCACCCAAGCATAGTGCAATGGGGTGCTCAGGCATGACCTAACCGGGTCCTGATGTGTGAATTAGTTGAGGGCTTGGGTGTGAATGGGGCACCCGCACCCAGGCACCCATGTGGGAGGAAATTGGGTGCAGAAAACGCGTTATTTTGCCCTTCTTGGAGGAGCTGGTAATAGGGATTCCCGAATTGCACCCCCATGTGTGCCTTGGTGCAGGGATAAGCACCGGAGCAGGGTTGGACCCGGGCTTGGGGACATCCCTCTCCATCCTCCCTCCTGCACAGATGCGACATCGCAAATAGCAAACAGCTTTCAAAGCCCCATCTCCCATTGATGTCACATCAATGCCAACAGAGATAAAAGCTGAGAGCCCCAGAACCAGCGCTGGCTTTGCCAGGGAATATTAATTAGAGGGAAAGCCTCATTAGAGCAGCAAGGGTGGTGGCTGACACTGCCTGCCCCACAGTGTACCCCAGACCCCCCAAGGGGGTACTATGGTGTGTCAGCACCCCAGCTGCCCCAGTGGGCTGAGCAATGGGTGCACTGCAGACCCTCCAGCGTAGGCTTTGAAGATTAAAATGCTGAAAGTGTTGGCTTTTATTCAAAAGAAAGAAGAAGAAAACCTGCTTCCCCCCATCTGCAGCTCTTGGGGCTTCCAGGCAAGCACAGAGCCCAGGTAGGGTGATAAAGCCCCCCCTGTGCCATCCAGAGCAGCCTAATTGCAAACCCCAGTGTGGTTTTTTGGGAAAAAAAGCAGCACAACAGTTATTTGATGGATTTTGGGGGTTCATTTTGATAACTTTGCAGCTAAAGATGAGCAGGGGGAGCACAGGATGCTGCCTCCTACCACCTTAAGCCCCCCCATTGATGGGGACAGGAGGTCTAGTGTTGCCCCACGGAGAATCCCCAGCATCTGCCACCAAAGGGAATGTGGGAAGGGGTCTGGGAAACAGCTATTGTGAAGTGGCACAGGATCCTCGAGCACCAAGACCCCACTCCATCACCCTCCCAAGAGCCTGGCTCTGCCCTGTCCCCCATTAACCACCCCAGGAAACGCAGCAAATCAGTTGGTGAAATCAGTGTGTTAATGACAGGAAAGTAATGAGGAAGGAAGCAGCGTGGGGGAGGTTTAACTGCCATGGCTGTGCCCAGCTTCTGTAAAGGCCCTCCTTTGGCAGCACCTCCTAAGGAGGAGCATCACCCATGGGTGCCCTGGTGCACAGCCTGGCTGGGGGACACTGAGAGGATCAGCGAGGAGGGTGCTGCAACCGAACACTAGCAGAAACACCTCTTGCCAAGTCCATAAAGCCAAAGGAGCGGCCGGGTGGCTCCAGGGATGGGGTAGAGAAGTGTGACTGCACAGAATAGGGCTATGGTACCCAGGCAGCAGCGAGGCAGCGGCACCAGGAGGACCGAGGTGCCACCACATCAGTTGTTTACTACGGAGAACTTCCCTTCCTTTTCTGTTCTGTTTTTCCCAGATGAGCCCGATTCATCCTGACAGAGGTTTTCAGCACACATTTGCCCAGTGGCTGCTTACAGAGGCACACTGACAAGCAACACGGCGCGGGATAAAGGCACCCTGTGCCTGTGCCACAGCAGGGCTAGCAGGCACCAAAATGGGCTCAGCACGTCATTCCCAGCCCCATGCCACCTCAGGGATGGCTGCTGCACGTGGGCCTGGCTGCCCATGGGGCCCGAGGCCTCTGGGCTTCCCTATGGGTGCTCAGCACCAGCCCTGCTCTCTGAGGATGCTCTCCCAGCACCAACTCGGTCGCAGCACTCGTGAGGATGGGTGTCAAATCAATCCCTGCAGCAAGGATGCCAAGTTAAAATAATACCCCCAGAGGAAAGCAGCCAGCCATCTGCCAGAACTGCAACTTTCAGCTGGATTTCCAGAAACACTTCAGCTCTTAAAACCAAGAGAGGAGAGAAAATAAAAAGCCCTCCTCTTCCACAAGCACAGAAAGCACTCACACAATGAGGTGCAAAATTCCTCTTTGACTTCAAACGCATTTCTCCTGGCTGGTTACCCCCAAATCCTGGCACAACCCATTGGAAAGCCATTGGGAGCATGGCCCAGCATCGCTCCTCTGCCAGATGACAGCATCCTGCTGCCCAGGGAGCAGGATCCTGTGCTGGGGAGCCCTGGGGTGTCAGAGGGATGCTGAAAACATGGTGCTCACCCCTCTGGAAGCAGGGAGGAGGTGGAGGGATGGCAATGGGAGAATAACGCTTATGCTGCAGCAAAGGGAGCTTGTATGGTTGGCAACAGCACCCTGCTTCTGCCAGAGTGGGTTACATCCCTCTGACCCCACAGCGCCATCCCCATGGCTGGCATCAGCAGGATGCGGCCACGAGGCTGGGTGAGGCCCTCAGTCCAGCCTGGACTTTGCTTGGCAAGCTCAGGGCAATCCCCTCCCTTCTCAAACACTGGTCAAAAGGCATTTTTAGGGGTTATTTCTTGTGCTGTTACTGAAACTTTCTGCAGGCAAAGGCAGCCCCAAGCACCCCAGCATCAGCACCCACCCAGAGCAGTGCATCCCTCAAACCCTGTCCTGGTGTGGATGCAGGCACTTGCCTGTTACAAACAAGACAAGACTTAGATATGTGCTTTCTTGAGCTGCACCAGGTTTCTGCACCCTTGGCAAAGCCATGACGAGCCGTTTAGCTCTTTGGAAGTGCTCGGGCCAAGTCGTGTGGCACGTTCTCATCAGCTGTGGTAACCAGCAGGGGTTTTGCATGCACTATATATTAACGTATGTTACAACCTACCCTGTAATGGAAAAACACCATGGCTGCTGTAGCTGGTAACACTTTCAAAAGCACTTGACGCCCAAGTCATCCAGGTGCTTTTGACAGTGTTATCCTGGGTTGCTATAGGAACTCTAATAGTTTTCCCATCTGACTTCTCCATTAACACTGGGATTTATAGTTAATTTGTTTTCCTTTTCCTCAGTGAGAAGAAGCAAGGAGCAAACGTGTGCATGCAGGAGGAGGAGATGCTCCTCAGTGGGTACCTCTTGGCCACACCAAAACCAGCACCGGGGACCAGAGCTGGTTCTGCTGAAAGCCACGGCACAAGCAGAGCCCATAGTGCTGCTGGAGGGAAGGGCAGAACCCCACCACCCGCTAGGGACCAGCCAGGAGGCAGTTGATGCCCAGGGTGGCTTTATTATGAGTCTCAGTCCCTCAGGGGCAGAAGGCTCATGGGCAGAGCATCCCACGCAGCTCCTGGAGCGAGGTGACGGGCAGGGAGCAGGAGAAGTTGCTGCAGACATAGGCGGTGGCTTTCCCATCCTTCCTCTCCAGGGACGCAAGGAAAGGCAACTGGCGGTAGAGGAACCCAGCGCTGTCTCCATCTGCCAGCATCAGCACCTGCCCGAGAAGGAGCTGTGAGAGCTGGAGAGCACAGGCAGCACCATCAGCTGGGCCTTCCCTCCCCATAGACCTGCCTAGTGCTGGCAGCATCCCCCATGCACTCACCCAATGAAGGGAGAGGGACAGGGAGCCGAGTGGACCCAGCCAGCCCTCTGCCAGGGTGCGACGGTGGCCACATCCCCATCACACCTGCATTGGAGGGAGCGTATGGTCCACATCGCCCCTGGCAGCTTTGCCTCCCTTTTCAGGCAGGGATGAAGCACAGGAACCAACATACAGTGTCCCAGAGCCAGCCAGCTCCCTGGGGACACCCACCCAACCCCAGCATCAGCATCACCCCATCCCACCCTGCAGCCCTTCAGCTGCTTCCCAAGAAGGTCAGACACAGGCAAGCAGTGGGTTGGGGGCTCTCCTGGCTGATACAGCAGCACGACAGGGCTGCCGTGATAATTAGCTTTTCTGAAAGAGAAAATGTTTGTCAAAGCCTCAGGGCCTGTGCGCTCATCAGGGAAAGGCCAGGAGCTGGCCAGGAGCCTGATGCCCACACAGATGCAAAGGGCGAGCAAAACACTGGCCCTTCCCAAAGTCCAAGGCACGGCAGCAACATCCTGCTCTTGGAGTACATGGTTCTCCTTCATGTGTCCCAGCCCTACCATATGCACCCACTGCGGTGCCCGCTGAGCACTGACACACTTGCCACATGTCCATGCTGCTGCCACCAAGGGATGCTGCCACCAAGCACTGCCACCCACAGCACACACATCTCCCACCCCAGCATGTGGCACCCTCTGCCACCGGACCAGGAGCAAACACAAAGCCAGGAATGACACCCAGCAGGCATGATTCCCAGCAGGAACACCATGCAGCCTCACCCAGGCCTGGCAAGGGCTGGCCTAGGGGGTCACCATGTCCCCAAGCCCTTGCCCTGGCTAATGGCTGCTGCAGGCATCCTGTCCCCATCACCCCTCATCACTGCTCAGCCCCTGCCTTGATGCAGCGCTGGCTCGGCCTGTCTCCCTGCCTGCCCCTCCTGTTCTTCCCCCAACCTCCTCCCGGCTCTCCTTTGTCTGGAATTAATTCCAGGAGTGATTAATTACCAATTCATGCCCAATCTGAAATTCATTATTCATTTTTCTCACAAGCTCCCTAAGGTCCTCTTGCGGGGCCAGGATGAAGGCAAGCACAGACTAGGGCTCTGCAGCTGAGGAGATAATGGGATCCTTCATAATTACCCTAAAGACCATTAACAGGGCAGGGATCTATACCAGGAGCAGGGATCCAACTCTCTCTGCTCCCAGCACCAGGATCCCCAGGGAAGCAACCACTGGCATCACCCTGGAGCACTTACAGCCCCATGGCAGCTGCTTGTGGCAAAGGGCTGCTCTAGGTGCAGGGTCCATTGAAACCTGTAACCTCAATGTCATTTTATCATTACAGCAAGAATTTCAATGTGAGGTTTATAAGGAATTAATTACTGGAACGACCTAATTAATTGTATTCCTGCAGATCAGCTTAGCCCCCAGCACGCTGCAAGCACTGAGGGAGCATTGGTGGCAGGGGACACAGCCGTGATGTTTCCCCAACTCCTTGGCAAAGTCAATTCCCAAAGCTGCCATGCCCCTGGAATGGGTGATCTGGGGCTGGTCTGCCTCAGGCAGCTTCTTGGAGTGGGGAAGGAGAGCAGGGAGCAGGCTGGAGGTGGGTGGGAAAAGGAGCACCTGCATCTCCATGCAATGCAGCACGGAAAGAGGGATGGCTGTCAGGAGGTGGCGGGATAGGAGTGCTGGGCTCAGGCTGAGCTGTGTAAACAGCCAGCAGTGACAGCAGCCACTGCTGCAGCAGCTCCCTGGGCTGCCAGTGCTTTGTGCCAGGGAGAGGGGTGCAGGGGCTCAGCCATGGCCCTGCTGTCTGTGCTTACGGATATGGAAAGGATAGGATGCTTCCCAAAAGGGAGGCAGGACAGGGGAGAAGGAGGATGGGTGCTACCGCACTGGGAGAAAGGATGAAGGCAGCAGCGATGCAGGCAGCAGCAGGGAATGTGATGACAGCTGGTGGGAAGTGGCTGTGCAGCGGGCAGGGAGGGCTGGCACCTCTACCTTGGTTGGGCTGAAGACGGAGTGGACGCAGCGCAGCATCTCTTTGGTGTCTTCTCCTTGTGGGTCCCCACAGATAACAACCTGTCCAGGGAGAGCATGGACGGCAGGAGGGACAAATCAGAGCTGTGACTGTACCCACACCACCCATGTCCTGTACAGGCCACATGAGCCCCAGCCTGTACCTGTTTGACAGTGTGATGGAAGACAGCGGTGGCCCGGGCCATCTCTGGCAGGATTATTGGGATCTTCTGCAGCCTCTCTGAGTAAGCAGCCAAGATCTGCCTGGCTTTTTCCACCCAGTCTGTATGGCCAGAGTAACAAGCTGCTCGGAGCAGGTTTGTGACAGTGACAGAGTTGGCAGTGGGCTCCGCTCCATCTTGGTCTGCAGGGGACAAGAGCTCCTCCATCAGCGCAATGCCTCAGCACCCCATGGCTTAGTCCTCCAGCCAGGCATCACCCCTGCCCCACAGCATAACCCATGGCATGGCCATGTCCCCAGGCTCACCATCCTTCAGACGTAGGAGCAGGGAGGGATCGCCAGCCTCGCTGGAGAAATATGCGAAGCCTTTGGGGTCCCAGAAGAGCTTGTCTTGCATGTGCTGGAGCTGCAGGGCCCACTCCAGCCAGCCCTGATCCAGTGAGGCTTCATACAGGTCAAAGAGAGCCTGGATGACGAAGACATAATCCTCCAGGAAGCCCTGGATGGGCACGGCACTGCAGTGGCAGACAGGGAAGGGGCATGAGGGTCTCTACACTGGCCAAGTGGGAACTGTTCTCCAACCCAGCAAAGCCCTACCTACTGGTCTCTGCTAGCCAAAGAGAGCTCACTCCAAGATAAGTGGTGGCTGTGCCATCACATTGCTCAGGCTGGGGTTTCTATACAGTCAGGGGAAGGTTTGTGCCAGGTTGGAAGATGAGGAATGGGAAACGATTTGACGTTCATCCCTCTGCACTGGGTGTGGGGCACTAATCCATCCCAAATGCTCTGGAGGCAGTTCTGGACCAAACAGCCTCCCTCCCTCCACATTCAGCCCTGCCTGTAGGAGAGGACAACGGGGACTGCTGAGGGCAGTGGGGTGGCCAGTCGGTTTGCAGACACTGCACCACTGCTCACCTCTGCTCCACCGCGTTGTCCTTGCCGCGGTAGCAGCTCCGCAGCAGCCTCCCACTGCTGGGGTCGAAAAGGTGTCTCTGCAGGAAGGCGGCTGCCTTTGCGGCCCGGCTCACGTACTCCTGCCTGGCCAGGGCTGCCCCAGCCTGGGCAAAGCCCGAGATCATCAGCCCTGCACAGGGAAAGGGACAGGCTCAGGGCAGGCACAAGGAACCGGTGCGGATGTCACTGTCTCTTCCTTAAAGGATGCTCAGTGTGAAGCTCATTCTCCCTGATGTTCAAGGCAGGTCAGGGCTCAGCCATCAGCTCTTTCCTCTAAGAAAGTTATCTACTGTGACCAAAGAGCCGGGCAGAGCGCTGCACAGCCAGCAAGAGCTAAGCCTTCACTTGTAGGCAGAAATGGGGCTTAAGAAACTCTTTCTGTTTGCAGGACGAAGTCTAACTCATGTCATCTCCAGACCCAGCTATCCAGGCATTCATATCCATGGAAACAGTGCCTGGGGTACTGCAGTTATTACCTGCTGCAGGACACCCGGACACAGAGATATGGTCCCCCCACTAACACAGCAGTGAGATGGGCTCTGCGCCCTGCCTGGGTCCTGAATCCCCACCTCCATCCCCTTCCCCAGAGCCACACCGTGAAGCTGAGCCATGGGAAGAGTTTTGCTGCTCTCTGCTGGCAACAGGGGAGGAAAATAAAGCCAGAGCAATCCGCTGACGCTCGGCAGCCCCTCGGCTTGCAGGTGAGG